AACTCTATCCCAGCCAAAACCAGCACAGAATTGAACCTGTATCTTTCTTGGGAGTGCAGAATACTGAGTGTCCAGGGCAACCAAACAATTTCTGTAAACAAAAATTTGATTTCATAGATGGTTTTGTAAAACCACCATCTGTTTTTTGTAAACAAGCAGTGAATTCAAAGACGGCTGTTGGGAAAATGATAATTTCTAGCATTATTTAATGTAGCCAAAAACCATTTTGTCATAAATAGTGATTAATGTGTTCAAAAATCTGTCTGCAGGATGTATGCTGCTCTAAATAAAAGAAGTCAGACCTGTCCATAACCTGTCTCTACCAGCTGTACACAAAGAAGGATTGCTCCCTAATGTTACCCCAAATTATTATACATTGCTCTTCAGCTGATGGTGGCTTCAAGCTATTACAAAACATTTAGAAAGTATGATTCACGCATTCAATGGTGTTATTACACTCAGTATGAGTAGATGCCTTGCAAGCAAGGAGAAAATAAAGAGCTGAGGTTGGCAGAAATTATAGTACTTTGCTTGCTGTGAGTTTGCGGGAGGGGTTTTATGTTATGCCAAAAAGCACCTGAATTTTAGAACCCTTTTGATGTTTAATTTTTTCCTTCCATTTCAGACTCAGACTATGACTAATTTCCTGATGGAGCTGCTCTCTTAATTTCCAAAGTATGGTTTGTATCACTATTTCATGATTAACTTCTGTTCGTTGGTAGATTGTTTTTTTTTAAATATGTTAATCAGCTCTACAGTGTGCAAATTACTTTAAAGTCATTATTTAATGCAAAATAAAACTGTCCACTCTGTACATGCTTCCTTCAGAAAATACACTCTAGGCCAAGGTGATGTGGGAGAAAAGGGGAAAAGAGGAAAATGTGTATCAGACACCCTTTGTGGAAAGGCAGCTTGTCAGCTAATTGGTTCTTGTGGGTATTCCTTTGTATGGCAATGTACATCCCTTACTTCATTACCTTTACACATACTATGTACAGCTTAATTTTCATAATTGCACATAATTGTAACCTTTTGGAATTTCTTGGCACTCAAAGAAAACAAATTTCCTTTCTTTGCCTCTGTAGATGATTTACTCTCTGATTCCCTTTTCAGTGAGGAAGGCTTAAGAAAAATAGCTGGCAAAATTTCAGGTTAATATGGTGAAGGTACATAAAACATTTATGAACCTGACACCAATAATCACATTCTGTGATCAGGGCTGACACCTGATCTCATTGGCTATGATGTGGTTGTCAAATTTCAACTTTCCATTGCAAATTATTATTATTATTATTATTATTATTATTATTATTATTATTATTATTATTGATCATTATCATTATTATTATATTATTTCAAGTATTTAACTGTTCTTATCTCAACCCACAAGTTTTCTTGCTTTTGCTCTTCTGATTCTCTCCCCCATCCCACCAGGGGGCAGGGGGTGGGGGGGGTGAGCGAGCAGCTGTGTGGTGCTCAGTTGCCGACTGAGGTTAAACCATGACAGCTCCAAAGCAAATCAGGCAAGTAACAACAGGAGGGAGTGACCGCTAGGTCTGGGGACTCAGGTCTCTATTGTCAGAGTTATCGAGACTCAGGCTAACTCGATTCAGTGTTGGTGACAGTCCTGCTCTGATTTGGGGTTGGACTACAGGTCCTTCCACTTCCAGTTTTCTTTCAACACATTATCCCCAGCAATAACAGATGCTGAATACCATGTCATGTCTTGGCTGACCTCTGAGTGACCTTCATACACACCTGAAGATTTGCCTATACAAAAGACTTGCCTCTTCTCATGAAGATCCTAAACTTAGCAGCTCTGAAAGGACAGACAGAGCCTGAGTAGATAACAGGTAGCTGAGTTGGAAATCCTCACCATTATTTTTGGTGGAATAAAGTCTTCTCCATCACATGCCATGGCTTCAAGTTCCTTTTCTGCTTCCCAGTTCAAGTCGAAGTCACCATCCAAAGTGCCACAGGAATCCTGAAGGTCATGGCCTGCCAGAACACAGTGTACATTACAATGGCAGAACAGCTTGCTTTCCCCACTCGATCCTGTCTGGCAGCTACCTCGCAAGAGGTACCACAAGCCATGAGACTTGTGCCCTCCTTTCTTCCACAGAGCGACAGACACCACACTTTGGGGCTGGCGTCTCTAAACAGACAAACACTTAACGAATGAAGAGTGCGCACACAGAGCCCGATACCACATATCACATAACTTTTTGTCACTCTCACAGTCACCAAGTTTAGCTTTCAAATGGTAATTCACAACAGTCACCCTGTCATTTCAGAAATGGAGAAGGAGACAACGCAGACAGACTCTCTACACTTTAACACTGCCAAGCTGATGAGCAAAAGTCCAAAGACTTCAAAGCTGGTCTCCTTGTAATAATTACTGCGCTGACTATGTCTTCTGAGTGACTACAGAGAAACATCTGCCTTGTTGTTCAAACAGATCCTGGCAGAGAAGTCCCAGAGCATGAGGACAGCCGTAGCAAACACAGTAGTATTGCAACAGTATACTTGAATTTGCTCTCCAAATTGACCTTACCTGTTGGCCTTCAATGCCTCCTGGGGAAAAAAACATCTGGAAGGAATATAATTGACCATTAAAGGTTAAATATAGAGATGACTCCCTGAAGCCAGGGACTGAGGAAAGAGAACCGAGATGCCTCTATTTGTGCTTTTTGGGGTGCCCGAGTGTCACTGGGCAGTGCCTGGAGCCTGTCTGAATCATGTCTTTTCCATTCGCCTCTGAGTTAGCTGAGGGAGCGGGGAGGAATCACACTGCAAAGGAACAATCGGGTCATGTTTTGAACGTGGCCTTTCACACATCTCCCTCTACAACCTGGTACGGTGTCTTCTACAGCTAGGAGGGCTGGATCTCATGCTTACCTGGCAGGTCAGTTCATTTCATTAGCGAAATTCATTCACAATACAACCCATTTCAACATGGGCAAACTCATATCCACCAAGTCCCTTGCCTACAGGATTTCAATAAAATCTGGGTAAAACAGCCATTCCCTTTATAAAAAGACAGTGGGAAGATGCTGGCATTTCCTCCTGTAAATTAACACAACAGCATCTCAGTCCCCACAAGCAGAACATCGCAGCATTACTGGGGATTCCCAGAGGAATTCCTGGCAGCCCAAACGAAGATCAGATTGCCCCAAGCTATCATCTGTGCAGCCAGCACGGCCAGGAAATCAAAGCTACATCTCATGGAGCGCTGCAGCTGTGCTCTTGAGCTATTCTAGCCTAGGAAAGAGCTCAGAAGGGGCTCTTGCACAGGAAGCCAGGCAGGTTAGTCCCACTATGGTGAATGTAGCCTTGGACTGGTGTGCTTCCAGGTAGGTTGTTTTGGTCCCAAGCGAATAAGGGAGGATGGGAACAGAGGGCTGTAAGAGAGCTGTACCACTGGGTATCCTTTGGCAACTGCACAATAACATGAGGTTAGATGAGTTTGCTCTACAAATAAATATAGGTACACACAGATGAACAGGTGCATATACCTGGAGTGTTACTTGCTCAGATCTCATGAAACTAAAATGATCACAGATGGGGCAAAAGGGCACAGAGGAGTTACTCCAGTGGAACTCCAGTCAACACCTCAGCTGGAGGGTTTGGCCACAGGAGGAAGCTCAATGGACTCAGAACTCACTTTCTCGAGAGTCATGGAAGGAATCAGCTTTGATGGGAGTCGGGTCACTCCAGGACCTGCTGAAGCTCCTCTCACGCCGTTCGGCAAATGCTAGGATAAAACCAAAGCATGACATTAACAGACTCCAAAGCCACCTCTGTTGCTGCCAGCAAAACAAAACATCCAGTAGATTTCCACCAAAGCTACACAACACAGACTCCCCTATGCTTGCTCTTCCACTTGCCAAACGTGAGTCCTTTCCACACAGCAAACAACAGTCTATCATCTTCTGGCAGAAGAAAAAGTGCCCACTTTCTGAGCAGGACCATTACGGGGTATGTAACACAGAAAAAGGGGGACACTTGATGGTCTCTCCTTAAATGCACACTGCTCAAACCTCAATTTAATCAAAGCTATTCCAGTGTCCCATTGTAAATGCTCTGACTGAAAGGCCTCACACGAAGATGTACTCAACAGCTAATGACACATACATGACCAGAAGAAGGCAGTAGTTCTGCAGTCAGTTCTCCCTTCACATCTGTTTTTGGGCAGGCACTCTCTTCATGTTCTAGTGACATCCCAATCACAGCTGGACCAAACAGAGAGGGGGCCCCTGGAAAGCTCATGCTTTCTAAATCTTGTTCCAAAAGAAGAAATCCTTCAGTTTTTGCTTGCCTGCACTCTGCTGGGCACACACCCCCACTTTTTTGCTTTTTTTTGCCTTTTTTTTTTTTTTCCTTCCAAGGGGCATTATATTGTTTGTACTGGCATTTCTCAAGTGGAATCCAGGGAGCTTGGCCCAGCTGGCTGCACCACAGGCAAATTCCTGGGAACTGCCAACCACAATGTCTGACTTGGCAAGTGCATGTGAGAGCCATTACGCCCAGATTAACAGCCACTTATAGCCACTACTATCTATTTCTGGTAGCAGATGGAGCAAGTTCGCTGCAGCGTATCTAGTAACAGCATCTCACGTCAGCAGTACAGGAATTCACTGCAGATTTGCATCACAAGAGCTGAGAAGCAACCTGTCCTCTGCTGCAGTGTGTCCAAGTGTGGGTGTCCAGGGAGACAAATCACATAGGAAGTTCTTCAGGTGATCTCCATCCTCAGCTTTCATTTAAAACCAGGCATTTAGCTATTGTGCACATGAAGAAAGCTTTGAAAACATGACCCGAGAGTTACCAAGGCAGAGAGGCATGCCTGAACTTCCAGATAGCTCTAGTGGGAGGTGAGTCCTGTTCATTTCAGGCAGTGCTAACTCAGATGCCAATAAAGACACTTTAAAGGGCAATGCTGTTTGCTGTTCACTTCCCAGAGCATATGAGAAAGGAGAGGAAAGAATGCATATTCAACTCAGCAACGCTTTGCTGTGGGCAGCCTGCACATAATGCCTGGCCAGGGAGTGGGAAGAACAAGGTGTTTCCTCTTCTGGAGCAATCCTTAGCTCTCGAGAGCCAGTTACACCATTCTCAGCCCATTTCACAGCGATAAGGGAGCTGTCTCAACCAAGTTATGGAGGAGTGTTGCCTTCCTCAGGGAAAGGGAACGGCCGTTTCCCAGGCCTAAGAGGTGATTTCTTCCCCAGTGAGGCATAACACCCCTTATTTCCCCCTTGCTCCAGTCTCTTCCCTGTTCCTCTTCTTCTTCCCTTCCACCGTCCTCTCAGCTCCCACCGGACAACTTTCCACCAGGTCCTGCTGCAGAGATGGCAGTGGGACAGGGGAGGAGACAAGAGAAAGCTGCCAGTCCGTGTGGTACATGAAGCACCGACTGTCCCCAGGGAGCCACAGCTGGTCCGCAGCTTCAGTAAGAGGCCAGGCAGCCCTAGCCAGCTCTGCTGAACTCTCAGCTCTGGTTCTCCTCACAAGTGTCTATGCTGCTGATCACTGAAAACCACATGCACATGGGACAAGGACCCTGCAGCTCTCCTTCCACTCCTCACACTGAGGCCACAAAGACCTCCCATGGCCAAGGCAGAGGGTCCTCGGAAATAGCTTAAAGGCTGCTTGCAGACATCCGTGTGTCCTGGAGACTTGCAACAACCTGGCCTTCTTTTTTGTAGAGTAAAATGGCATCAGCAGGTCAAATCCTTTCTCTGGCCCAATGCTAGGTCCTTTCTACCTGCATCTGCACGCAACATAGGGTTCCCCATGTCCCACCGGCACAAACCCCAACTCCACAGTCACATCTTACAGGTGCTCACTTACTTTGTGCTTTAACCCTTCGGCTCCCCACCATGCGGAGGTGCTTCCGAAAATTCCTGAAAGAAAGGCCAAACAAAACCTCTGAGAAAGGTAATATGAAGCAATACCTGGGCCCAGCAGGACTGAAAAAAATGGGAGGAAAAAAAATAAAATTGGGAGGACAGTGCATTTCCTTCTGGGCATTCCAAAGCTCGAGAGCAGGTTCCCAGCCTGCACCTATTCAGTGCTGGGAATAGTTATGTTTGTCAAGAGTGTGGCTGTTTCTTCTGAACTCCCTGAGCTGGTGGTACAGGGCAAGTGAGGTCCTACATGGCAGTCCCCTTCTCACGGCCTGCTTTCACTTTCCTATGACTAAGGCACCTGTGCTGTAACTTTGCTGAAGACACTGCCACTGCCCATGCTGGCAATGCTCCCTCATCTCCTGGTAAGCAGCAGTAACTGCTCCCCTCTCTCCTTTCTTCCACACGTGCTTCAGCAGGGAAGTGGGGTACCCAGGCTCTGCCCTACTAGGTGGCATGCACACACCATGCTCATGGCTGTGCTCATTCCCAAACACATTCACAGCAGCTGTTAAAATCCCACCTGTGCTGTTAGCAACCATGCAGCCCGTACTGCTCTCCAGGGCAAAGAGCTGGGAAAGACTGAAGCAGCTTCTTCCTTCTCGGATAACGCTGTTCGGTAAGGCTGACTGTCCTCATGGGCCTGCTCTCTGCTAATGCTGCCTGCCCAACCACATGCTTCCCTGCCCAGGACTCACAGGCAGAGTTCAGTGGGGCTGCAGAGTACACAGCTCCAGAGGCAAGTCCACCAGAGGGTAAGCTTCGGGGAGCAGTTACACTCCGTAGTCAGGTCTGCGTAAAACAGACTGTCCTGGCCACTCCTGAGAGACCATGGCAAAGGGACTCTTCGTCCAGCCCCTCCGAGTGCAAGGGACCTGTTTCCCTTAGTTTCCCATCACTCACCTAGACAGGAACCAAACAGGACAGGAACCAAACAGGACACCAGAAGAGACACAGGGAAGAAGCAGCACGTGGACTATCAAGAAAGGTGTCACCCCTTGGTGAACCCTACTTAGTCAGGGTGACTTCATTCTGCAGCGCAGCCCCCATGGCCCCCAGGGATGTCAGTGAGCCCGTGTACCAGCAGCCTGCATGGAGTGGGGGAGCCTTCCTAGATTCCCTTCTGCCCCACCAACATACACCACAGACATCAAGCAACAGAGACTACTGCTGGTGAAACGGGTAAAATGACAAGTCATCTGGCTCACACACAAGTTAGTGGGATGAGTAAGGACATGTTACAACCATGCAGATGCTTTAGCAAACTAATTGGACTAGAAGACACTTCCAGCACCGACATGAAGTTGTTCAAAGAAAGTCAGATACGTCTACTCCTATACAGAGAGATCAACACAAACGCAGCCCTCGTGGGAGAGCACTTAACCCACGCCACCTTCTGCACTGTCCCCGACTTTGACCTTGGATCCCATGTTGTCATCAGGATCCAAATTCAGCAGCTCAAGAAGGAAAACTAGCAGCTGGGTAGTGAAGCTGGGAGCAACATTATTCCATGACAAATTTCCCTCTGCACTTGGGCTATTAATGTTATTTTCCAAAGATTTATTTTAGCTCTACTTGGGTACATGAAGATTCACTGCTGTGGATCAGACAACTGCCCCCCTCTAGACAAGTAACTAAAACAATTCACTTCACTAACACATGCTGGACTGGCTTTATGTGCAAAGCCTTCTGGGGTGCGTGATGACCGATAACGTGGGCTGTCTTACTGTGCATTAAATTCAAATCCAAATAAATACAATATTTTAAGGGAACCAGGGTCATTCTTTACACAGAAAGGTCTTAGATGTATGTTGTAACTCATCAGAATGAAAATCTTTATGGTCCATTGTGAGACCAAGATCATACCAGACACTGAGCACCAATGTTAGTCACCAAGGCCACTGTTATATCCTTCGGGCTTTTGGCATTTTGGAATAAAATCCATTTTTCTGTTAAATGCTCAGTTGCCCTCTCTGCAGAGAAGCTTCTTCAGACCCTGGGGGGAAGGGGGCATAAAGCAGTCTTTGCCATGGAAGAGTGATGCTCCCAGCTGCCTGGTCTCTCCCAGCTTGGTCTCTCCCATGAGTGCGGGTTGAGGGCAGCTGTCTAGCTACATCTCCTAAATACTGCTGAGAGCACCTCCGGGGAGAATCCAGCTGCTCAAGGTTAACCATCGCACTAAATGCTCAGAGAATGGGACAAAGGCCTTTTTTCCCCCCTCAGCTCTTCTAGAAAAAAAGCATTTTGGAAAGGAGGTGCAAGCCTAGGCCTGCCTCTTAATGTGGGCATCCTGTGGCCGTCTAGATCATTCTGAGGGCTTTTTCAGCTGTATTGGTCCTCAGGCCCCTCTGTGCTTGCATGTTAGCACAAAAGGACTGGCACAGCACCCTTGGGGGAGCCGCAATCTGCTCTGTGAGCAGTCAGGCTACATAAACCTGCCCCGTCTTCCTGCCTGGCTCCTGCAATTGCACCTAGAAAACCCAGTGTTATTTGATCACTAGCAAGATCTCTCCACCCATCAAAATTCAGCAAGCATCCCTCAGTGTTAAAGTCTCCTCACTACTCCCTTTCCTGAACAGTCCTCTTCCTGACAGGCTCCAGCTTGCCATGCAGTCCACACGACCCTATGCCACCTCCATGGTATCCATCCCAGCCAAAGGGTCTCCAAGACACAGCAGCTCCACTCCGCACACTCTGCAGCTCTGCCTGCAGCAGTTCATTAGCACTCTGCAGAGAAGCCTTGTCATTGTCCAAACAGAGGTCAACAACCGAATTACTGATGTATATCAATGCTCTGCAAAACTCCCAACAGCACCTCTCATGTTCTCCTCCTCGGCTCCTCCTTGCAGCAGTCACAAGGTTCAGCACGCCACTGGGCATCACTCACTCTCAAGGCAACATCCATTGCACCAGCACAGGTACCATGCCACGCAAACCAGCCTCCCTGTGCACCAAACACACAGGGCCAAGCACTGAAGGGGCTGTGTGATAACAACTGAACTTCTGAAACACCTGAGGCCACGAAGGACTGCCCAACAAGTATCCAAAACTGCAGTGGGGCTGAGGTCCTCCTCACTCCCTGGAGAAGAGAGCTGAACACTAACTGCCAGCAACCCTTACAGCTGGCACAGCCAAAAACCCACATTGACAGAAGCCCATCATTGCTATCCTATCTCCTCTTTATCACGAGATAAATGCAGATAGGCTCCCACTGTACAATCCTGCTTAGACCTTCAGCGTCCACAGGAGGTGGGGGGACATGCTGGCTGCTCAACACAAGGATGACATGACTCTGTCCTCTATCCAAACTACTCAGCATCACCGAGGTATATAATCCTATCCTGCATTTGTAAGCCATGTGAACAAGCTGTTTTCTAACAAAGACTTGCCTCTGTCTAAAAAATTCTGAGATATCTCTTTCTTTTTAAAGATACACTGTCTATTTATTTACAGCATCTTTAGTTTTGATTCTTATTTCTCTTCATTATTGATGAAAAAAACCACCACCCTTAAGTTGCTAAAAAAAAAAAATAATAATCTTCCTGGCAATTTCCCAGTTAAGAAAACCTTATGTTTTTCTCCCACTTTGTTTTGAACAGCACTGACACGATCATGGCAGTTTTTAACCAATGACACAAATGCTGTGTTATCCTGCTTAGTAGGCTGCCAAAATACAGGAGCCTTGGCACATTTAAAAAAAACAGAACAGTTCTGATTAAAACAGTGGCTAAGTGATGTGCCTTGTGATGCCAGCAGAGGGAAACCAGGACCCTTCTGTAATACCTGGAAAAGGGATCAGTCTCCATCCCCTTTTCTTTCCTTTCTGCTCTTTAAAAAAAGATTAAAGAAATAGACTTCTGGTCACTAGAGATGTTAATTTTGCCCAGGTCTTAGATTTCTTAGGTGCATTTGTAGATGCAGCCACAGGACATAAAAGTATTCAGCTATCCTCAAACAAATTCCAAATATTTGGGAAAAGGCTGGCGAAATTGCATCTTTAATTTTTTTTTTTATATATATTAAATATTTTTCTGCCTGAGACACAGATCCTGTATATTCTATTTGGAAGCTTAAAAGAAACTTGACAGTGTTCCTTTAAGAAGATGGAGATCAGCTATCTTGAGCACTGCAGCACCATTAACCTCCACACTTCCAGCACAGCCACTGCTAGTGTCCCTATGAACAGTAACACAGACAGGGACAACCACGTTCAACGTCATCAAGCGTCACTAATGACACCCGAAGGGCCCATGCAACACCAGGCAAGGTTATGGCTATGGGAGAAAACGGGCCCTACCTCTGTATAACAGCTGCAGAATCATTCTCCCGTTTCCGTCTCTTCCTCTCTGCGTAGCCCCTGAATGCCCTGGGAAACCATTTTAAGCCATTAACCAACTACACAGCTTTGAACTGGAGAGGACATGAAACACAGACAGGAAAGCTCTCACCAGACAACAGAGAGAGATTGGGCTGGCCGAGGAAGACAGCCAGCCCTTGCAGGACTGCGTGCGAGTCAGGGGCCAGGCAAAAGACTCACCAAACCAAAGGTCCTCACTCTAGGGTGGGTGGCTGGACAAGCAGTTGTTCCTAAAGCAAACGTAAGAGTGGCCAGAGCACAGCCCAAAGAATGGGGGCAAGCAGCCATCATCCCTGCTACGGAGGAATGGACCTAGGAGACGGCAGACACAAAACCTCTGTACACCAGGATCAAGAGGGACAAAAGCATGCTAGCAACTGTAGTCTCCTTTTCGAAGATGAGGTTGGTTGCGGTGTGATCCACGTAGGCCTACCAGGTGCAGCCATCTAACCTCTTGCCAGCTGACAAACAGCCCTAGCATAGGGAAAGCACGAGTGAATATGGGAGGGGAGGGGAGGAGAGGAGAGGTTTCTCCAGGACACCAACAGACAAGGAAATAAAAAAAAAAAAAAAATGAAGATTATACTTACGAGATGCTAGAGATTCCAGGAGATGCAGGGAAAAAGAAAGAGAAGAGGAATTCATTAGTGCTCAGCCCTGGCCAGCATTCTGAGGGAATTCTCACTCCAGAAGGAATATTTCTTGTTAGGTGGAAAGAAATTGTTTTTTAAATTAAACATTTCTCAGTGGTGAGACTCCTACTTGACCGAGCTAAATCCTCCCTGGGGCAGCGTTGGCATGTGGCTTGGATGCAGATTAAGTTCTGTGTAGACCCAGAGAACATGCAGATGTACAACTGACAGCTGAACGTGGCCCGGCAGGCTACGACGGGAGCTCAGCATCATGGGCTTCTGGAGCATGGAGACCTTCTCCCACAGTGACAAAGATTTGTGAAGTCAGCCCACGCTGTCTGTCTATGAAGGAAGCAAGCACGGTGGGCTGAAAACACTAGAGCAGAGGACAGGGGCACCTGGGGGAGCCATTCCAACCAGCCTAGGGAAGTGCCCTGAACTTTTGGAGATGTTTCTGTGTCATTTCTAGAGGCAGCACAGAATCTCCAGAAACATTAACCAGGGAGCTACATTAACCAAGGGAGCTGTGCTCCTCAAGGGTTTCCTTAGGGCGCCATTCCCCAAAACAACCTCACTTTGGTCTCCAACAGCTCCAAGCCTTGTAAGCCCTGCCATGGGCCACCATCCTGTAACAAACCTTGTGCACAGCAAAGATGACTTCAGACAGCAAAGGATGTGCCCAAAAGCAAAGGAAATGTGCTGATTTTGTGCATGGTTTGGTGTGTCAGATCAGAACTGTAAAATACCATTCACTGTTACCAGCCAACATTTCTGAAGAGCAAAGCATCTGTCACATTGCCCTCGGACTGCCCACAGGCCCTGTCAGCCTGGTGCCCAGGAGTGTTAACCAGCTGGGGTGCCACTGGACTTACAATCCCTGAAGAGGAGGCAGAGGGACATAGAGGTCAGGTAAGAGAAGCAGCGCTAGGACAATAGAGAGAGCAGAAGCCCACGGAGACTCCTCACTCCCACTGTCAGGGTGGGATTAGCATCCCACCACCATGCATCAGATTCCACAGACTGGCACCGGGGAAATGCCTCCCCCTTGCTGTTCCCCATGCTGGGAGGGTGGGTCACACCTCCAGCTGAGCTGGAGGGAAAGGACATGAAGATAAGTGTTTTTTCTGGGGGATGCAGATCCATTCCAGTATCTCAGCAGCCACCTCTCTCCCCAGTGCTGGATCCAGCCCTCCCCTGCATCAGTCCTTACAGGTCTGATCCAGTCTGGGTTATCCCAACACCAACAATCAGCCTCTTTTCAGGATTTGGGAAGGGAAAGGTACGAGGGAAAGAAGAAATGGCACAGAGATAGATTACAAAAAGGACACCAGATTAGACAAGGAGAAATAAAGAAAGCGGTAGAGCTGAAGGTGACAGACACTGGAAGAAGGACACAGGAAAAAGGTGACAAGGCTGGAGAAGAGCCTTAGAAGGCAGAACAGTATCTCATTTCCCTGATTGTTTGCCTTGACTTTGCAGCCAGGTAGGAAATACTTGAAACCAGGAAGACAGTGTTTCCTGACAAGCTAGGTACAACCTGGAAACGAGGCTTCCCTTATTCTCTTCAGTCCTTCGAGAACCGCCTCCTCCCAACGCACAGCAACCAGGGGCACCAAAACCTGTGTGGAGTGTGGAGGGAGAGGCTGTTCCTAACTCAGATCCGTTCACACTTCACAGAGATTTTACTGACACCTTCTTCAAATGACCAGACCAGCACAGAAGCTGTAGGGCTATATCTCATCCTATAGAGACGCACTCCTCTGGAGTGACAGACGCAGGGCAAGCCTGGAATAATATTCCCTCAGGGCAGTGGCTGCAGCAGAAGCAAGTGGTGGAGGGTCTCAGCTGGTGTTCCCACAGGACCCTCGCTCTGCAGAGGCAGCCAGGGGCAGGGCACAGTGTCACAGAGAAAATAAGGGAAGCAGAGAAGAGCTGAGTAGCCCAAGGAGTTAAAGAAGGTAAAACCAAACAAGTGGGAGTAGTAGGAAAGAGAACTAGCAAGTGCAAAAAAGAAATTAATAAGAAACAAGGTTCTCTCTCTCTCTCACCCCTGGACTGCAGTGCCAAACATACAACTTGATTGCTCCAGGCTCTCAGATACAGCTTTGAGTGAGCCACGAACTTTAAGATACACAGTAAAAGCTACAGCAGTAGTTTCACTTACGCTTGCATAGTTGTAGTAGCAGTTTGAAAACTGAAGAGGTTCTCTTTTGGGAACCAGGTTCGTATGGGGACATCATCTGGAAGAGAGAGAGCAAAACGTGAGAATCCAGCAGGCAGAGACATCCAAGCTCTTTCTCTTAGTACTCTTCTTCAGCATCCTGCCCTGTACTACACAGGAGAGTCTCATCCTCCTCATATATATGCACACTACCACCAAGCATTTTGTAAATTTGTGCTAAGCCTGTTTATCAGGCTACTAAATGAAGAATAAAAGCTCTATCCTAAGCATGGAAGATTAGAATAATCCAGGAATTACAGAAGAGACATTTGAACAAGAAAAAAAACAGGGGAAAGAAACATTTTTCATTAAAAGCATTTTCCAGCCTCTGCCTTTTCCTTAGTACCATTACTTTGAAATGTCCCATTCATCCAGTTCTTTCTGATATAGCCTCCTGCGGAAGACGAAAAGCATTCACCTTCCCCTCTTCACAACTGTAAGCCTGAGATCGACTCTCTTTTTCCTACCATTGAAGTTTCAATAAACCTCTCTCACACCTGCTCCTGATGACCTGACCTTCATGAATTTTTCTGCTTTTAGAAGTCAAACCGCACATCAGCTATACAATCTGCAGGTAACTCTGTGCTTATTTGTTCCCCTATGTTTGTAAACTGCCCTGCCTGAACCAACTGCGGATTATTTCCTAATTCCGTTGCATTAGGACACCGCATCATCTTCATGTAATGACCACTAAGACAAAAAGCAGGCAGCAAAATAAGTCACGAATTATGTGTGTGGGATGGTGGTGACCAGAAGGAGGAATCTGACCAAGAAGCAACTCCTACTGAGAACTCTCAGGCTGAAGTCGGTCAGGCAGGGAATCAGAGGTGTATTAAAATCCACTGACACAGGACGTGCAAGATCTCAGTGGATTGGATCCCTGGGATTTGGGGCTACCTGATTTTTCATCTTGCTTCTCTCCCAGTTTGTGGCTTTCTTGCTTAATGCCTTGCCACATGTTGCTGATCACATGTCTTGCTTCACTCATTCAAGTTTTAAGATCACTAGCAACTACGGTATCTTAGTCATTAATATTCTGGCATTGTCAAGAGTAATTTTTTTATTCACTTTCATTGGTCAAAACCCAATCAAACCCTTCATGCCTACTGCAGACATAATTACTACAGACCAGATATCTTTACCAAATATCCTGTACAGATCATCATCTACTACAGACTGATCCTACTGTTCCCTGACAGTACAAAAAGTGGCTGCAATTACAGATGCAAAAAATGCTAAATCCAACTGGGGAGGCTTCCTTCAAGGTGAAGCCTCTAAGAAGTCATATAGAAAGCTGTAACAGACACTCCTTCTCAGCTAACAGTTTATGTCAAGCCTTGTATAAAGGCACCCTAAGGAAATACATATGTTAAATGAAAACTGCATTCTAGTATGCTAAATACTTATTATGAAGTTCCTATGTCTGCTCTCCTCCAAAAAACACATAGACAAGAAATGCGAAACAGCTCAGACTGTAAATGAATTACTTGTTTGAAGTCTTGAACCCACAAAAGTGGCGAAGGAGGAGAAGTTGTACAAATTCCTTTTTAGCCAACAATTCTGTACAGACTTCCCAGGGACTGTGCATCTCAAAGGACTGACAATCTCTTAATATATTTTACAGCTTTTAAGCCACTAGCTTTGATTCAAAGCAGAGCTTATGAACAACAGCTAATATCCTTATGAGGCTTTGCCTGGGCAGTTGCTGGAAGCCTCCCCTCCTTTTCTGGAAGACAGGAGTCAACATAGGAAAGATATCACGCCCCTACCCACAGCACTCAATGGAGAATAAAGGATTTGTGACCCTTCAGAGGTGCCTCTTTACCAGCCAGAGGTAGAACAGAAGCAGAAACACACAGCTGGGGACTAGGGAGCACAGCTCAGCTCCAGAGCTCATCCAGCTAATTAAAATTCAGATTATGAGTATGGCTATTTTGCTTCCAGGAGCAGGCAGCATGCTCCTTTTTGGCCAGGCAGAGCATCTTGTTCTCCTTTCTTGTTACTATCAACTGTGATGAAATAGCCAAGGAACCATAGGCCTGGGTAAGACTGGAGGAAACACCACCACCACATTCAGCATCTCCAGCCGCTTGCCAGGCTGCATGCAAATCTCAGCACCTCTATCCATGAGTGGATGTGTTTATATCAGATGCTGGGAGCAGCACAGGAGATGACAGCTTGTGCTTCTCTGGAATGGTGTTAGGCATCATAAACTCAGCATAAAAATCCACATTAAATTCTGCCAATCTGGCCTAACTGCCATGAGTGTTGGTTTGCAGCAATAACGTGTCATGTAAATCCAAACAGAGAAAGCAGCACGGTAAAGTCAACCTCTGGCAAAATTAGTCTCTCTCTCTCACCTCCATTCATCTCTGCTCTGTTTTCTCTGCTAGCCATGCATGAAGGACATTCCAAGAAATACTTCTTGCAGCCTGCGACAGTTGTGCCATTCAATTCTCGGTTTTTCTCTGAGTAACAACGCTTAGATAGAGCGTGCGAACAAGACCAAGCTGAGAAAACTTTCATGCCACGATGCCAGTGCTATGACGGGATTTGGCCTCAGAGGCACAGCGCTGCCTGTGCGGCCACACGTGCAAGCACTCAGAAGCTTGAGACAAGCACCGAGGGTAGCTGCTGTCTGCTTGTATGAAACATGAAATACTCATGGAGGCATCTGCAGATTCAGCGCTATCAACTCTGTTCCCATTTAAGTAACTACTCCAATTTCTTTTCAGAAAGGCAAATCTCCATTTCACATTGATAACTGGCCCTAACAAAAATTGCTGCCTAGTTGAAAATACATATTATAAATGCCAAGGCCCAGAAACAGAACATGGCATCTCTCTATAGCATTTGCTAGGACTTGTTTTCTGGCACACAGAGGCATTTAGCTCCAGCTATGAGGAGTTAAACTCCTCCATTAGTGATTTGGAGCTTTCCTTTGGTTCTGTATCAAGTATCCTGCTTCAGTCCCACAGTGCAGAGTACAATTTTGATTTGTTCAGGAAAGCTTTCAACATAAATCCATCAGCATTAGAACGGGAAATCTTCACTTTCTTAATTCAGTACACATCATGAGGCTGCAGTTGATTTAACTCAGCACCCTGATCTCCACAAGACCAAGCCCCTGGGGTTGTGATCTTCTTTCCTGAAAGGCTGGGACTGAAATGGCTTTCTTTTTCTATCTTCACACAAGCTTTCTGGCTCTGTCATCATATACAGAGCCATCTTTTAGCAGGTAAAACACGTATGATCATAAAACCATAAAGGTTTCCATACAGGAAAGCTCTTCTCACTCCTTTTCTTGCATTTAAGCAATAAAAATAATAAAGTCTAAAGCACATGTAGTGTCTGATGTGAAGCCCAAAAATCACAGGGAACAAACAGAGAAACAATGCTTAAAAACTATGCACAGGAATTAGTGGGACTGTAGGTGTTCTGCACACTTGATAATCAATTATTTTCTAATTATTATTCTTTAGTATTAGTCCATGTATTAATTTAGTCACAGAATTTCAAGCATCTAGGCATGAAAATATGGTCCAGAACCCAACCTTTCTGTGATTTTACCTGCAGTAAATATCACTGTGATATTTACTAGAAAACTATGAACCCAGGAAAGATGTACAGTTTGATCTCCACAGTCCTTATACTCAATTTATTTTCAAGGAGAAAACCTTGACCTTTCCTGGCTGGACACTCTGCTCTAAAAGCCTTGATGCATGTTTACAAAAAAAAAAAATCAGTCAAATTAGGTCAGACTCTTTGCCAGCCACATATAGAGCTGACAGGCAAAGATAGACTGCGCACTAGCTTATAATTCAAAGCACATAGATTGTGACATATATTTGATTAAGTTTTTAAAGACAATCAGGATTTTTTCAATGTAATTGAATAATTACAAGCCCTATTCCCTGAAAATATTGAGCAAATGGATAGCGAGTGGGGAAGAAAGTCCAATATTGTGTTATTTGCTAGTATCTATGGAAAGACCGTGAGGTGGCACTGCATGAGGGACCCCACTAAACTGCTTCCAGCCACGCAGACAAGCATTCTGGAGACGCATCGAAGTACAGAACGCTGTACCTGAGCTGAGCAGAGGCTCCCTCTGAGCACCCCGGCATGTTCACAAAGGTTTCACCTGCCTTAGCCCCAGAATGACACAGAAGAGGGAGGGTCCCGCTCTGAACTGCCTCCTGGATGAGCATAAATGTAGGTGCTTTGATGCAGCCCCTCCGCTCTTGCTCTTCCTTCAACAGAAAGGGAGCCCACAGAGATGACCCTCACTAAACTACATGAAGCTGTCATGAAAACCACCCAGGTCATCTGCTGCTTACAAGCTAGAAGCAGAGACAACGGAGCTTGGACGAGCTGGCCTCAAACTGAGCTCAGCTTATTTCAAACTCCTCCTTTGACAATCCGTTTCCATGGATGCTAGTACAAGGCACCAGAAAGGTGCCAAAGGGGAAACGCTACAGGGCCCAACTTGAGGCACATGGCAATGAAACCTCCATGCTGGGATGAGACGGGTGTGTCAATGAGTCCCTTTGTGGCCTTCCAGCACCCAGCACTCACCCTTACTTACCAGACACTCGATCGACACTATACATCCTCTCCAGCCTTTTTCTGTGCCACCCAGTCTCACTGGATTGATGCTGCTCCAGGTCAAAGGAGTGCTGGGAAGGGGCAGCCAGCCGCGTGCAGTTTGGGCACTCCTTGGAGCCCTGCCGGCTGCCTGGCCAGCCCTTGCAATGCCTGCTAATGCCATGAGAGCCGCCAGCACTGTGCACTTGGTGGCCGTGGTGGCATTCCTCTTGGGCAGCCCCCTTCATCACCACCAGTTCCATACTTTCATTCTCATGGTCCGACAGCATCGGCCTCTCGCCAGAGATAGTGTAGACTCGTGGCTTCGGTCCCTCGCTTGGCATCTTCTCTGCCTGCTCCTCGGAGAAGCTCCTCTCAAACTTGCCGTCTGAGATGACGGAGAGCCTGCGCTTGTTCTGTGCCGCCTGCTGCATCTCAGGGGAGTCCTCCTGTCCGATGTAGGAGTCTGCTAACAGGTGATCTGAAACAAATGGCACACTTTCCTTAAAACCAAAGCACCCCAGACACTGACAAATTCAGGAGGCTCTTTGTTACTGCTGCAGAAAGGGGAAAAAAAAAAGAAAGAGAGATATGGTGGGTTCCCCTAGGAACCTTTTCAGATGAACGCATGCCCACAGCCTGGTAAACCTCCAGAGCTAGTTAGTACTGAAGTGAGAGACGTTTCTCACAGATATGCCCAATATTTTAAGCATGCAACTGGCCAGCAAACAAGGCTAGAAGCAAATGCAGCTCTCGGTGCACAGCCTGAAAATGCTTATGTGCAAAACAGCCCTTGTTCAACTGCGCAGTCCTGTCTGCTTCAATGACTTTAGCAATGCAAGGGCTACTGAGCTGGTGAAAGTTTGCAGGACAAGGACCAGCACCAACTTCTCTAAGAAGTGACAAACTCTGAGTGTTTTGTGCACCAAGTTATTGTTTTTTAGAATTAAAGGAAAGGGGCAAACCACTAGGGGCTGGGGTTTTTTCCCCCCTGATTTTCTGCCAATTGGTTTGACATGAAAGAAATGCAAAAAGACTTCAGCCAACAGCTGCAACACAGCATCCTGCTCTCTGCAGCACCCCTGGTTAGCAGGCCTCATCGTGTGTGCAGATGGCGACAGCACAGCCTGCGGAAACCGTCCTGAAGGAAAACACAGCCACTCCCTTTGTAGGGTAGGAAGATCGAAAGGAGAGAGGCCCATGAGTGCAACTATCTTTGGAGCCCACACACTGGATGAAGTGCCAGGAAATCTCAGCATTTCCATGGCAATTCCATGCATGAACCCAACAGTAGCTCCCACCCACCTGCTAATCCTTTTTTCAAGTGGCTGCTAATTACCTCTTACACTTCCCTTCAGATGGGAAGCAGCTCAGGGACTGTTAAAAAGGCTCAGCAGGGAATGCATTATTCATGTGACTACTACCCCAGAAAAAATAAAATCATTAGTGTCCAACACAGACAGCAGCATTCTAAACAGAGGCAGAAAACAAACCCAAGCCTTTACTTCACTAGATACTTAATGAACATCTTTCCTTTAGCTGCTGAGCCATGATCTGGAAAAACTCAGCAACAATCCGAGGCTTGGCTACCTTGTAGCTGGCCATGAAGCCATGAAGGAGGAAGAGACCTATCCCAAGGCAAGTCTGATGTATATGTGCAACACGGACCTTTCACTGCTGCCACATTCTGCTTCCTATGAAGTGCTCTTGTGCTCCTGTGAAAAGACCCCTCCCAAGCTGAGTTCGTACACTTTCAGCTTTTGATTCTGAAGCCCATCCTGGATTGTGCTCAAGTTGGGAAGGGCCTCTCCCCCTGCTCTATTTGCAGCCGAGGCTGAACTGAATTTAGCTGGTACTGGTACAGTGTGTCACCCTTATCCCATTTTTCTGCTTGAGATACAGCTTCCTCCAGCACCACTAGGAGATAAATACATCTTTGGCCACTCTGCTCAAGAACAACTGTCTGGACCGTTCAGGCTGACACAACTCAGGTTCGTTTCACTTGTCTCCTAGTAAGGCCTCACAGTCTCCGGATACTGTAGCTGGCAGCTGTGTGACTCCTTGAGCTGACCAGGAGAAGGAGCCTGTAGGACTCCTAAAGAAAGAACTATGCCTCTTGAATCTATAGCTGATGCCGTCTTTCCAGACTTCACATGAAGTCCAAAACACATGCCTAGGACTAGTGAGGGAGGAGTCATGCACCTCACTGATACTGTCCAGGTAAAACATGAAAGGCGAGCAGTGGTCTACTTCACCCATGGTCTCCTGCACAGAGACAGCACGGACATCTGCACCTCCCTCCAGGAAGAGAGCCTGATGGACTACGAGGGCCATCGCCAGAACAACTGCAAGCCATTCAAGTGGAAGAAGCTGCTCCACCAGCTGTCATTCAACAGCTTGTCCACCGAGTCCTATCAGCTGCAGGATACGGTGTCATGGACCAACCAGTGCAGAAAGTATTCACAGGCTCCAAAGTCTCTCCAACCACTTATCACCCCTCAAGAGGCAGCAGGCCACCACATTTGTTCTACAGCGACTCAGACTCCCTCCAGTTCCAAGACTAACCGTGCTTTAGAGTGGGCCTGTCTTGGGAAAACACCACCAAATGACTCTTCAAGATCTGCCAAGATCTGTGCTGGCTAATAGTGCCAAGCACACCATTTTTTAAATTAAAAACAAAGGCCAGTTCTAAGTACTCGTCTCAACTTGTCAAACTTACTAATCTGTGTGGGCACAATGACACTACATATTTCTTAAGACACCACAAAATAGTGGCTGACAGCTGCCCCTGTTCCTCCTGAAATGAATACTTCTATGGAAGACATATAGCCTCATTAGAGCAAACACACAGGATTGCGCACCTTTACCCACGCACTGACAGCACCGCAGTTCAGAGATCCAAGAATTTCTGAACTCTGGTATCTGTGGGTAAATGGAAAAATGAAGTGCCCAAAGCATAGTATGTCTGAAAATGCTGATGATCACAAGTGCAGAGAGACCAATTCCAGTCTCTGTTTTATAAGCATTGAGGTCTGTTCAGCCCCATAAAATTTACAGACACATAAGTGGGACATTACTGGTTTCAAGTAAGAGCCAATTTTTTACTGAAATCATGGCAGGGTTACAATTCTTGACTGGATATATTTGACATAAACTACCTGTCTGATCTAGTGTGCAAAATGCGAAGATAATCCTTTCTTCCTACCTTACTTGTCCCTTACTGAAGATGTTTTCACTTGTACTTATCTAGGAGTTTTCACGGTCTACACTACAAAGGCCTGCCACCACACCAATATGCTTTCTCTTTGTCAAACAATTGGATAATTATTTCTTTTCATTCAATTTAGCACCTTCAGTAACTACACATTGGAGAAGCAACTTCATATGCCAAGGGAATGTGACGCTTTATTCAAGACTTACAGTTAATAAAGAATTTATCTACAGAAAAAAATTAGTATGGAAGGAAAAGAGATTCAAACATCCATCATAATGAATTACTGGCTTCTAAGAACAAACCTGCACCACTTCAGGGAGCAAGTCTGCGCTAGCATTCACGCACACATGTGTTCACGTACACCAGCAGCCTGGAGACATTACCAGTGACTGGTTCCCTTGTCTGTGCTTGCAGTGAACTGGATTCAGGTGCCAAAGTACTGCACCTGCTTCCACTATGGCATTTTAGGTTAATAGTTTGCTTCTGCTAGGAAAGAAGTCAAGCTGGTCCAGAAATCAATGCTGAATTAAATCTGAGCCACAGGGATGTTCAGTGAAGAGAACCGAGAAACAGTAACAGGGGACTTAGCAGTAACTGGAATTGCCTTCTAAGAGTCAGCTGAAGCAGACTGCTGTTAACACCCTCTGCCTCGTTACTGCTGCTCTGTTTCATTTCATTTTCACATTGCTCTTGCCACCTCTCCCACAACCAGCTGCTCCATCAAACTGCCACGCCAGGCCAGGACAGCGTGACTCGGGAAGCCTGGCACAGCGCCCTCCTCTCCAGCCACTCCGATGAAGCTGACCTGGTAACAACTTCTGCTCTCCCACTTGCTTTCATCAGCAACACCTTTGTCTCACATAGCTGCAAAGCTTCCTTGGAGCAGACAAATCAGGTTCCTCAAACGGATTTCTTTCCATCTAGATTTCTGCTCTACATGGATTTATTGTGCCTGAGAAACTTAGCAGCAGATGAAGGGAAGAGGACCAATGCACTTGATCGGTAGATCATGTGTCTACTGGTAACAGAAACATCCATATCATATTTTCATCACTGCCCTGTCTACCTGGGCTAAGTCTAACAGCCTGTCCAGAGCCTGAGGGCTCGACAGTCCAGTCCCAAGGGCCACTCCACTTCTCCCCCGACTTGTTAGTTACGTGAACACGTCTCTCTGGCTTCACTTGCTCCTCTCTGATATTTCTTTCTTCACCTTCCACGCAGCACTGCCCAACACAGTCGTTAGTGCATGCGTATCACCAAAGACACGACCACTGACATGATAATCTGTACTGGTTAATTTGCGGTATCTCAGGAAAGAAAAAAATCCACATTCTCGACACATGTAGTTCCTGATAATTAGGCACTTACTACTATTAGATACTTATAAAATATCTGTTCTCATTCAGTAACTCTAACTTGAGCACTTGCTCTGACCCAGGTAACTAACCGTGAAAGGACTTTCACATTTTCTTCCGCTGTCACAGTGTTTCTCGATAGGCGGTAACACACTGGGATTAGCCTCAGGTGACTGATGCCCATACACGACAGTGGAGGGACTCACCGAGCCAAACTCGTATCTGATGCAGACTGCCTTGTAACCCCATGGGATGGGAAGTTTATAAATCAAGGCAGAATATAGCCACAAGGCATAGACAGAAGCTTAAAAAAAAAAATCCCAAATTTATTACTGTATTTAGCAGCCAAATTGATGATTAAAGCATCTTAGATTTAAAACCTCAGTTCCAGCACCAGAAGCAAAGTGGCAAAGGGGAATTCAGATAAACCCTATTAAAAAAACACCTGTCATTTCAGAAAAATAAATTTCAGAGAAAGTTCTCTCTTCCTTGCTCCACCTCAGCTGGACCTCTCTGGACCTGATGTTTATGGTACCAACTTTAAAGGAAAGAATTGTCTCAGCCACCGAAGATGAATGGAAAGACTTTAGGTTTATTATATGGACTTACAGCATTGTTTGTAGTAGGAGGAATTAAGTTAATGCTTTTTTTTATTTTACACCAGTAGGAGTCCAGGTGATACCCTCAATGAGGAGGGCGGACGGGTGCACTGGCTAGAGCCCAGGGCATTGTGAAAACAGCAACATCTTTTCAAACAGCACAGCTGAGCAGTTTCTCTTGCAATTTCTGTTCTGAGATGTCCCATTTGCCTGCCACTGACCTTCAGCTGTGCTAAGAGGCTGTCAGGTCCTGTTCTCCTCTGCTCCGTCACCGAGCATGCATCGGAGCCATAATGCAAAGCTCCCTACCACG